AACCTTATTCTAAATGTTGGGAAAGTAGGGCTGAGTGTAAATGTCTTACAATTTTGAAAATTTTTTAAATCTTGATTTATTCAAAAACGTAAGAATAAAAACCGTAAGAATCATACATTTTTTACTTCATATGTTAAAAAAATGATACAAAATCGTTCAATATTGTAAGAATTCTTACGTTTACAAAAAAAGTCACTAAACCCTTCCACATATACTACTTTGCATATGATTTGAATGGTTTTCATCATTTTCACGAATGTTAGCTGTAAAATGGTAGCTAATAATCTAAAGCATAGAAATTTCACGGATTCAAATAAAAATTCCGCATAATTGAAATTTTGAATTAAAAAATGTCAATTTTTATGAAAATGAAATTCAATCACAATTTACAGATAACAAAACCAAATCGCATTTCAAATATAAAGAATTTACACTCTGATCAAGCTCCAAATGATGTTTGGGAACTCTTTTACGAAAATTCTCCAAAATCCGTTGTTATTTCAGGTAATAATGCTAGGATAATGTCAAGAGAAAATGAATGTTTCTTATACAACTGTATATTCATTGATATTAAAACTAATTATAGTGCTATTTATTTTGATTATTGGAATAATAAGTTTCTTAGTTCTGATTGTTCATTTAATAACTGTAGCAGTAGAAAGTTTAGTGGATCAATCTACTTTAAATGTGAAAGTTCCATTATCCAATACCGAACATGTGGTTACAAATCAAAAACAAATGATGCTTGGGGACATCATTCATACATTTACTTAGCTCCGATATCAAATGAAAAAAATTATCTTTACGAAAGTTCTTTTTATGAATGCGGAAATTTAAAAAATTCTGCAACAAATTATCTTGCGTGTGGAAACATTGAAGTGAAAACAATTAATACAAGTTTCTGTAAAGCTAAGGAAGAATCAGGAATATCTCTAGCATCGCCTACAAGTCTATGTAACGTAACATATTCATCATTTTGTAACACAACATCGAAATATAGAATTTTAGAATTAAGTGGTGGTAACCATCATTTTATTTTTTGTAATGTTTTGAATAATGAACACAAAAAATCTTATTATGGAACATTAGATTCATTTTATTCAACTGTTCTTATTGAAAACTGTTCATTTCTTGGAAACAAAGGGCTAGGAGTAGAATTTCATCATGAATATTCTGGTTCAATTACAGTTAAAGATTCTTTCTGTGACTAGGCAGAAAAAACATATCAATCAGTTACAACAAATAATGTTCAAAATATATATTCTATTCACAAACTTTCTCACTTTTCATCATATATTTGTGAAGTTAATATTCAGAAAAATTTTGATTTTGATGCATTTCAATATTTCTCATTTAACAATAGACGAGTTCGTTAATTAATATCATTCAATTGCATATTCAAACATTATTGATATTATTCAATTGCATATTCAAACATTCTTGATATCATTCAATTGCGCATAAGCATTTACTTTTCCTGAATTTTTAAGGGTTCTGACCGACCACCTATCTCCTCTCAAAATTTTCAACTTTGGTGGCTCATATCTTGGCGAATACTGGGCTTCAGTCCAAGCACCTGGTACATCTTTCCTCCCTATAAGATACAGTATTTAAAAATACACCAAAGTGATGTCTTTATCGATGACCATTTTTTCACCTTGCTTTTTTTCAATTTTTTATCTCATTTGATATTTAATTCTAGTCTGAAATAGAGCTGATATTGGCAGAGTGAGGAGATTAATAATTTCATCAGACTATTTCAGAGGATTGAGTCTAAACTCAATCCTCTGAAATAGTCTGATGAAATTTACAAATTTTTGCATAATTTTTAAAAATGGAGCTTATATTGAAATAATGCAGAGATTACAAATTTTCATAGGCTTTGAACGCTTAGACTTTATGAGGTGTGTTGTATAAATGTAGTTATTGCTATTATATGTCATGAGATCAGAATACGAACTGCGTAAATATCAGTTTTTCTCACATGTTTATATGTGAGGATAGCCCAGTTGAGTCTGTAAAAGAGTACAGTACACGAAATTAGTAATTTAAAACACGAAACAAACAAAAAAAATATTAATTATTGAAGAATAAATTTTAGAGATAGTATCTCAAGGTTTTTGTCTCAATATAACACACTCTTGTCTTTTTTCTGACCAAAAAGAGAAGTTAGTATTGTTAAAATCAATACCATTTTTAAAAATCGAAAAATAAATTTCTAATATTTGTAAAATACGAAGGAAAAGCATGATGCCTTGAAATTTATATGATATTTATCTTAAGCGTGGTACCATCTCGATTTCCTGCGGCCACGAGCCATTTCGAACTTACGGCCGTGAGAAGCAACCTTTGGACGTGTCTTGGAGTTGTCATCACCTGGGGCAGCGCCGAAGTGCTTGTTAACAAGGCGGCGTGTGCGATCACCTTCAAGAAGGAGGCACTTGTCACCTGTTGGGCGGAGCTGAGCAAGCTGATCGAATGTGATGCATTCACCACCAGCAGCAAGGATGCGGGCGCGGGCGGTTTCTGTGAACTTAAGAGCGCAAACCTTCATCTTTGGAACTTCAAGGAGGCGTTCATCATTGGTGATCTTAGCAACAAGAACGGCGATTGTCTCAGTTTCCTTGCCGTTAAGAGCTGTAGCAAGGCGGCTAAGAGAGTATGGGCGCCTGTTTGTGCGGGAAATGCAAAGACGGTGGGCAATCTTGGCATTGAAGTCGTTGCCTGTACGACGAGCGAGAAATGCGTAAAGGTTGTGGAGCATCTTCATTTGGGCATCAGCTGTCTTTGGCTCTTGCCTCTGTTTACGGGGAACTCTGTGATCAAGGTCAACACCCATTTCAAAAGGGAGACCAAAACCGTTTTTTCGATACAAATTTTGGATGATATCTTGAAATAATTTTTTGAAATTACATGATAAATAGTCGAACCTATCAATGGAATTCATAATTATATAATTAAAATTGCAAATTTTCATCTAAATTTATGCGAAATTTTCGATTTTCTATGATTTCTCATTTCTAATTGATTTGCTGACCATCAATGTTTCGGCTCACGTGATTATCTCTCTTTTGTATATCACAATTGATTCAATTATAGCCAAAAATTTGACATACCATACATGAGTATGCATAACACAATTGATTGTGTATGTATATGAAGGAAACCTTCTGTGGGAAAGAGTTATATCCAGCTATATTTATCTTGCAAATGGTGTTACAAATATATCCAGCTAAGTTGATGAGTAACACACTGAGTTATGAATAATTCTTATCACTTAATTCCAATCTTATTCTCATAAAGTAATTCATATAACTTGAAAAATAGAAAAAATCTTTCCGAAGGATAGAATAGGGATGCGACGGTTTTACGCCATGACCGTTTAAAAATAGAATAATACGCCATTTTTGGGGCCGAATGGCGGCTACTTCGTACCCGCCATTCGGCCGAATAACAAAACAATACAAAATTATCGCCGTCCTTTTTTTTTCTTTCTTTCTTTTTTTTTCTCTCTCTCTCTTTCTTTTCTCTTTCCTCTTTTTACTCCTCTTTCTCTTTTCATCATTAAACGTAGAAAGATATATTAATATTATTTTAAAATTAAAAAAAAATAAAGAAAGTATAATAAGTAATTATTTAGTTATCGATATATATATGTAAAGTGATAATCTGAGGAGGAGTCTGAGGATTAGACCGAGAAGTAGTTTGAGGAGTTTGATGATAATCTGAGGAGTTTGAGGAGTAGTCTGAGGAGTTTGAGGATAATCTGAGCATAATCTGAGGAGGAGTCTGAGGATTAAACCGAGGAGTAGTTTGAGGATAATCTGAGGACTAGTCTGAGGATTAGACTGAGGAGTAGTTTGAGGATAATCTGAGGAGGAGTCTGCGGATAATCTGAGGAGTAGTTTCAGGAGTAGTCTGAGGACTAGTCTCAGGACTAGTCTGATGAGGAGGACTCTAAGGAGTAGTCTGAAGAGTAGTCTCAGGAGGAAGATCTGAGGAGTAGTCTGATGAGGAGGGGTCTAAGGAGTAGTCTGAGGATGATGAGTAATCTGATAAGGAGTAGTCTGAGGATGATCTGAGGATAACCTGATGACTAGTCTAGGAGTGGTCTAATAAAAATGTAAAATATTTTCAAAGAAAAAATTCTATGAATTTTATATTTTAATTTTTAGCATTATACTGAATAAAATAAACATAAATATCAAAATTTGAAATTGAACACGCCAAAAAATTGATAATCCACATTCAATATTTTGTAAGTGGCGTACTTTTTGAATACTCGCCATACGCCTTGGAGTTCTCAATTTTGAATTCGCCTTTATTTGGGCGACCTCAGAAAAATACGCCATTAAGAAAATATTGTATGAGATTTTAAATTTGAACACGCTCTACCTTAAGGAATTAAATTTATTAAGATATATTTATATATAATAAACGATTACTTAAAAAAAAGTATTTCATCGCTTATGTAAGTTTCAAAAAAATCACGAAAATAAAAAAATCAAGATTAAAATTTTATTTTTAATTTTTGAATTTCTCAAATGGCGAAATTTTTGGGCGAACATAAAAAATGTACGCCCGGTCAAATGGCGTGTTTAACGCATCCCTAGGATAGAAAATTAAATTTTAAAATTATAATGAATATAAGTAGAGTAACGAAAATCCTTATGTTTCTCTTATTCAATTCTTGATTTTCTATAATTTTTCCTTTCGAAAATAAAAATTTAGATTAAAATGAATATAAAAATTTTATATTTTTAAAGTCGATTTTGATCGGAAGATGATCAAAAGGGGACTGGAGGAAACTCACTATTTCTCTTATGGGGTTTCAGGGTATCAAATCTATGCGTTCTTTGAAAGCTAACTTGCGTTATCAAAGTAATTTTCAAAATTTTGTTTATCATTCTCTACTTTTAGCAAGCTTAAACTATGGAAAGAAACAGTTATAAATAGTTAATTTTTTTTATTACAAGAAAAAAACAGAATAATAAAAAATTTCATTTCAAAAATTGTTTGATTGCAGCAAGAGTAGCAGCAGGTTCTTCAAGGAATATGAGATGTCCACTATTTGGTATCAAAAGGAAAGATGAGTTTGGCACCCATTTGCTCCACCAAACTTGGCATTGTTCAACGTGGATAATTTTGTCTTTAGAGCCACACAAAACAAGGATCTGCTTGTTGATATCGACTAGGCCAGCAATGGCACGTTCTACTTGGCTCAAGTCAAAGCTGCCAATAGATTGAGTAATTTCGCTGCTTCTAGAAATACTGTGCTGTATAATATGAGGGGATATTGTATCGATAAGTTCTTTCTTGTTTGGACGCTCGCTGATTTGATTTTCAAGTGAAAATGGAACGTTTCTTCTGGCAGAAAACTTGAAAACAAGATTACCGAGGATTGGTATGGAAAGTGTTAATTGTTGGAGTGGTGTGATCGGTTCTCCGTTGCAATGGAATGGCGAACAAAGAACGATTTTGTTAACAATCTCATTTTTCGTAGCAGCAATCAATGCAGCTACTGCACATCCATATGAAAAGCCGACAAATGTGCATTTGTTGACAGATAAATGTTCGAGTAATGAAACAACAAGACTTCTATTAGATTCTAATGTATATTCATCATCTCTTTGAGCAGATGTGTGGCCCCTGCCCCAATAATCAACAACAATAACTGAATAACCACTTTCATAAAGTCCTAAAGCAAAGTTATGGTATAAACTTGCAGGGAATGAGAATCCTGGAAGAACACAAACACAGGATGATTCATTACTCGATCTGTACCAACGATAATGTATCTTACCTTTTGGTGAATTAAAGAAGAACTGGCTTTGTGAAGGGAATTCCATTTTTTGAAAAAAAATTTTTTTATCGATCGCTTGAATTTTATTAATATAGAGATTCTTCTTTCATATATACCAAGTTTAAAACATAGATTATTCAATTCTTTTATCAAAATGTCTGCATCTGGTTTCAAAATCTGATTTATTGAAAAATATTTGATATATGATCAATTTTCTATTACGGAATGAATCAAATTATCACATTGTATTTAAAGTCCTTGAAATTAAAGTAAAATAATTTTTGTAATTCAATTTTCCTTCTTTCAACATGATAGAATCCTATTGATCCTGTGCATATACATTTTTTTTCATATAGACAAAGGATGATTGCGTCCCCAAGTGGGGGACGTTGGGTGACAAAAATTGAGGAGCTTTGTTTGATGAAGTCAGAGTCTATTTGTAAAGTGTCAAAATAATTATTGATTAATGAAGTTCAAATATTATAATATATATAACACCTCGTTAATATTTAAAATACATTTATCTAATTTTTGATGAATTTTCTTGCATTTTCAGAGAATTGTTATTTAATTTTTCTTAAATTTTAGCCATATGAGCTTTATAATGGCATGATTTTGATTTTTATTAAAGGTAATATATTAATCAATAATAAAATAAGTTTAATGTTTGATTTTTTTTTGATTTTATTATTGATTCAATTTTGAAGGTCCCCATGGGGGATTTGGGAACAAAAAGTGACATTCTATGAAGAGTCGATGAAAGGCCAGGAAGGGGCTCTGTTGTTTCTATTCCAGAATTCAAACCCGATTTCCTGGTAATTTAATTTTTGAATCCGATGAAAAATTATATAGTAAATAGTAAATCTCAGCATACATTATTAAGATTTATAAAAACAATAGGGATGATCGCGAAAAGAATTTTACTCATAAAAATTATGGGTATTTCTAAAAAATCTAATGTTTTTCTAGAAAGAAAAGCTTTTCTAGAAATTAAACATTTTCTAGAAAATGTTGATATTTTCTAAAAAATGTAAATATTTTGCGAATACTAATAATTTATAGTTCAAGATGAACTTATAGAAAATGTTAAAGCTAGGAATATGTTGATTCCGCATAAAACATCAGCTAAGTATATGCAAAATATGTTTATAGAAAAAGTCAAATCATATATAGAAAATGTCATTAAATTATAAAAAATCTCTGATTTTTATAAAAGATGTTAACGTTTTTATAAAGAAGAGTTATTTTTTAGAAAAACACATAATTTTTACGTAGTAAATTCTTTTCGTGATCATCCTTAATATATAATTAATGCATTAATTATAATTATAAATTTCATTATATGAGCAGCTTATGTCATGATTAAGTGCTGTTTTTCAATCATTACTGTTTGCTTCTTTATCAGCTCCAAGTGAAGTAAGATATTTAACAACTTCAAGTTGACCATATCTTGATGCATAAATGAGTGGAGTCCATCCATTATTATCCTTTGCTTCTTTATCAGCTCCAACAGAGATAAGATATTGAACAACTTCAAGATGACCATATATTGATGCCCAAATGAGTGGAGTCCATCCAAAACTATTCTTTGCTTCTTTATCAGCTCCAACAGAGATAAGATATTTAACAACTTCAAGATGACCTTTTTCTGATGCATAAATGAGTGGAGTATCTCCATCTTTGTCTTTGATTTCTTTGTCACAGCCACATTCAATGAGAGATTTAACAAGTCTTAGATTTCCTTGGTAAGATGCTTCATGAAGTACATTTGTACCATAATAACCAGGATTTTGTATTTTCCAAAGTTCTTCTTCACATGCTTTTTGCATCATTTTTTGATTTCCTTTTTCTGAAATTTCTTCAAAGAATTTGCAGATTTGATCAAAATTTTTGGAATTTTTAAGTTCGGAAATTTTCGAAAGAAATTCTTTTGGTAAATCGTTTCCTTCTTTCTCTTTGAGTTGAGAGCGAAGAGTTTGCATTTCTTTCTCAACGTTTTCTTTTTCTTTTTGGATCTGATTTAAATCTGCTTGAAGTTTTTCGATTTTATTTGTTGTAATGGATTGATCCTTTTGTGATTGTTCTAAAAAGCCAATAATTCCTTCGAAGATTCGCATCTTCATGTACTTTTGAACTGATGTAAGTGTTGAAATGGCATCTTGCAAGTTGTTTATTGAAATATTTGCATTTCGAGTGCAGGTATACAATTTGGATGCTGAAATGACAGAATGAGATTGCACAAGAAGAGAATTGAAGTCATCAGGTGTTAAATTCGCGAATTTCATGATTGATTCGATATCTTCTACTTCGAATGTACTAAAGAGAGTATCCTCTTGAATATAATCTTTGATATGTGAGCCAATATATTCGTAGTTCAGAACAATTCCCCGACTCATAAATTTTGTAAAGTTAATAAAAACAAAAATAAATGATTGTAAGGAACAATAATATCAAATAATGTAATGAATTATGGAATAACATATCAACTTTGACTTAAATCCACATTTCGCTTGTTACATTATGGGAAATTTGAAGGGTTGGGGTAGGGTTGGCGTCACCGTGGCGTCACGATGTAAACTTCTCAATATTGAGTGGTTTACGTCGTGACCCCAGCGAATTTTAAATTTTTGAAAGGGCTTTTGCGTCACTAAAAACGATCGGAAATGAAGTAGAAAAAAATATCTTTTATTTCAATTCAGATAATAAGGAGATTTATAAAGTTATAAAATTGAGAGATATATTGAGAATCTCATATAAATTTTTGAATAAAAAAATATAATTTGGGAAATATAGTTTGAAATCAAATAATAGACATAAATAAATAAAATTACCTAAAATTGAGTTTTGAAGCAACTTTTGATGGATTAAACAAAAGTATCGATCTGAAAGAAAATATGAAGAGAAAAAAATATCTGAGGCTGGAATTACTCCTTATGAAGCATATAGTTAGAGAATATGCCTCGTAAGGAGCAATCCCTACTAGATATCTGGGAAACTTTGTTCAAATCTTAAGTTATTCAGACAAAGTTTCCCAGATATCTGGTAGAAACTGAAGCCTGCGAAGTGCTTATTCTAGATATGCGCCACGCAGGCTCCAGTTCCCAATTAAAATACTTAGCAACCTAGTCCAATAATGTTAATCTTATCCCTTCTGAAAAGTATTCTCAAAAGTCATAATTTTTCCTTTCTTGATATTTTTATTCCTATTGTGATTGTTTTTCTGACGGGTTTTTGAAAAATAATACCGTCATTTTTAAACAAATCAAATATAAAAGTGACACTTTTTAACATTGTTTCTCAAATAACGACTTTTGTTCTCATAACCAGGGTATGATATTTATGGTATAAGATTCTTTGTAGGTAATCTTGCAACTCTATGTTGTTTTCGAAAAAATGATGGGGGTAACAGGAATTGTGATTTAGAAAAATGTGTTGAACCCTATTTATATGTTTATTTAGTATAAGTTCTTGTTGTATATGAATATGGTAATGTGAATTGGTTTAAAAAAGATATATTCGCATGGGATGAGATTATCTAGATAAACAAAAATCAAAAATTTGTTGAGTGTCATTATTTAAATACACGGATATTATGTTTTGTAGACTATTTATAGAAAAATGAAGATTATGATCAAATATATCTTTAATTATGTGCCAATTCTTATTTCACTCGACTGGAGTTATCAAGGTGAGCTAGTTTAGAGTTTTCCCGATTTGCTAGAACAAATCTTGAGGTTCGATAAAAAATCTTTTTACCAGAATGAGATAATTCATTTTAAATGTATTTATTAAGATTGGAGAACATTCTCCTGATTAATGATACATAGTAATTGCTTAAAATTCAAGATAAAAAATAACCTTAAAACGCATTTTCATGGTTATTGATATTTACATTATTTATTTTGTTGTATTCGATTATTTATAAGTTTTTATTAAATGTGGTATTTGAGGATTGGGTAAAAACGAATACAAATGTGCATATTTTAAAAATGTTGTATAAATATTACTTTGTTAGAATTTTGAAGTATTGTATTTTGGAGGATATATTCTTTCCCCGAGGTTCCCCATTTTTTAACATATCTTATCGATTTATTTAAAAAATTTGGAAATCACATGTATCTTGTTAAGCTATTATTTAGCAATAATTAAAATTGGCATATCATAATTAAATAATTAAAATTAAAATTAATAAAAAATAATATGAAATAAAATTTGGAGATTTTTTTTATGATGTTATCATACAAAAGAAAATTGGTTTATGCTTGTATATATTGTACATATAAATATCTGCATATTTTAATTAATATCATTTAATTTCAATCTGATATTTTTAGAATTATATTTGAATTTTCGTTATTTTCGAGAGAAACAATGCTTCATGGGAGATATCAATATGCTAAAGATATTCATTTGGTATTTTCGAAAAGTATTTAGTAGCAATCTTATAGTATTAATTCAATTTATTACTAAAATATTTTTGGTATAATGGGATAGTATTGAAGATAAAAGGAATAGGTTCGAATCACAATAATCTTTTTTTTTAAAGTTTTGTTTACTTTTGCGAGCATCAATTTAAACAAAATTACTTTGATTAGAGTATAAAAAATATGCATTGAAACTAAAATGGTCGAGATGAACGGTTTGAAGCGGTTTAAAAAAAATGAGTCACATGCGAGATGCTACAGCTTGAAGCCTGTTTGGTTCCGTATCTTCGGCTCCTGAGTACTCACTAAGAACACCAAATTCCAGAAAAACACCTCCCTAGGTGAGCTTAAGCTGCCTGCATAGTTTGTCGATCGTTTGACAGACAAAGTGCTACAGTGCACTCTTGTCGGTCTGCATGTGCCATTCTAGTGGGCATTTGCCAGTGCAAATCTCCAAGAATGACACACTATTCCGCAATCAGAAACTTATTGCGGAACTTTGACCGACAAAGTGCTACAGTGCACTCTTGTCGGTCACAGTGTCTCTTTTCTGGGAGATATTGTCACTGCATGTCTCCCAGAATGACACAATCTTATGCAATCTTATTCTGATTGCAAAACTTTGACCGACAAGAGTGTATTATTTCGCATTTATCTCGTTATGTGATGCATATTTTCACGAACTGGCAGCAGAAATCGAATCACTTGTGCCAGAAGAATCAGATTACGTGGGGAAAATAGGTTTTGAACGCTTAGATAGCGATATAATGAGACTTTATGAGGTGTGGTTTATAAATCTAAGCTTTCTGCTAATATATAATGATATCAAAATATGAAGTGCGCATATATGCGTTTTTATCACAGGTTTATATGTGGACGTAGCGCAGAAAGTCGGTAAAGGAGTTTGGTAAACGAGAAAAGTTATTTAAAATATGTAAAAAAGAAAAAAGATGAAAATTATTAGAAAACTTATTTTTATAGTTAATATTGAGATAATAAGACTCATATGAACATTAACAGATGGATATGAGTATATTATGCATTTTTGCGGGTAAAAGTTTTGCAATCAGAATAAGATTGCATAAGATTGTGTCATTCTGGGAGACATGCAGAGGCAATGTCTCCCAGAATGACACATTGTGACCGACAAGAGTGCACAATACACGTAGCCGATGAAGTTACACTTTGTTATCTTTAACTTCTTGTTCATATATTCGTAGTTCAGAACAATTCCCCGACTCATAAATTTTGTAAAGTTAATAAAAACAAAAATAAATGATTGTAAGGAACAATAATATCAAATAATGTAATGAATTATGGAATAACATATCAACTTTGACTTAAATCCACATTTCGCTTGTTACATTATGGGAAATTTGAAGAAAATCAAAAGAAAAATCATGTACAAAATGATATAGAAAGAAATGCTGAAATCGATGATGATATTTTGCAGTTAGAAAAATGCATTTCGGCCATAAATAATATTTCAATTTCAGATATTGTTGACGAAAAACAGTTAGATTCACAATACAACGTAATAATACAAATATTATCACAAAATATTTCATTAGTTATCAATCAAAACATTGAAGATCCTCTTATATCATTCATAATTTACAATCAGAATTTGTGAATATTGTACAAGGAGCATCTGCATTACTTAGAGCATGCGCAAAAGACACTAATTGTAATCGTTTAATATTTATCCAAGATGATAATTTAAATGTAATCATTGGATTTCTCAAAGAAGGAAACAATTGTTTTGCGATTTCCAACATTTTTAGCGTAATCATTGAGCTTCTAAAAGACTAAGACACATCAGAGACAATTATTCAACAATAAATTTAGAAATTTTAAGGGAAATACTAAATAATACAATGAATAAGATCATTCTAGTAGTTTTATATCCAAATGGCAATGTTTTAATGCTTAAAATTCTTGGTATAAGACCAAAAACTATAATTTAGCAGATTTAATCAACTAATTCTTAACAATCCACATTAAATTTATTGATACTATTGCTGATCCAAATATTATTAAATTTTTTTGCTGTATTTAATATGTTCAATTTGATAAAGAATTAATATCAATATTGTTTAAATGGATGGATATTAATAGTCCAGATGTTCTAAATTTGATTATTAATATTATTTGCAATAATAAATAACCTGGCGTTCCTCCATCGGATTTTATATTTAAAAGAATAATTGGATGCAAAGACTCACAACTATTTAATACCCTTTGTGATGCAGAAGTTGCTTTATGCAAAAGAAATCACAGACATTTAGAAATTATTTTAAAAGATAGCAATGAATTTATATCAGCACTTATTGCAATGGTTGATGAAAATCCTTATAGTTTAGGAATACAAATAGCACGGTTTCTTACTTATTAATTAATCCAGAATTTATTTTATCATCTGGTGTATTAGGTGTTATATCTAGCTTTGTAGATTCAGCAGATTCAGTTGAATTTGTTGCTTCATTGTTTAATTTATTTAAAACACCTTTAATGACGCATCAAATATAAGAATTTTTGAATGAAAACTCTATTATAGAAGAAATTGAATCATGCGCTGATAGCGATTTCCAAGATCTTGCTGATATTTCTTCAGAGTTTTTAGATGATATTGAAAAATATCAGAATTCAGAGGATTCAAATGAAAAATCATAGAAATTCTTAATTTATTACTTGCTATTTTTTTATATTGAAAGAAATTTCATTTCCTATAAGAAGTGTATCAACTATCAATGTTCATTCATTCAGAACTTTAATAATGCAGTTGTACATATATATTGCATCATAATTTTCTGGATCGTTAGATCAAATTTCCACCGTTATTAATAGATAGAATCGATATGTATGAAACAATCAAAACTCACATATTGAATAATGCATATAAATAGATAGAATCGATATTTGATATTTCGTGAAAATAATATCCCTTTATTAAGGAATAACTATCCTACAAA